AAAAATAATATCGGAACTGAAATATTATTAATACTGATAAAAGTCGGGATATTACACAGACGGTCAGTCAGAGCGGACTATTCAGACGCTGGAGGATATGCTTCGCGCCTTGGTTGTTGACAGAGGTGCTAAGTGGGAGTCACTGTTGCCGTACGCCGAGTTCGCATATAACAACAGCTATCATTCTTCTATTCAGATGGCTCCGTACGAGGCACTTTACGGTCGCAAGTGTCGTTCCCCTCTCTATTGGGACGACGTCGGAGAGCTACGAGTACTCAGTCCTAAATTGATCGAGGAGACAGCAGATCAGGTCGAGTTGATCCGGCAGAGACTCAGGACAGCTCAGAGTTGACAGAAATCTTCCGCCGATCATCATCGACGAGACATTCAGTTCGAGGTTGGCGAGCCAGCCTTTCTCCGAGTCCGTCCGATTCGCGGAGTTGTGCGATTCGGAAAGAGAGGGAAGCTGCACCCTCGATTCATCGGTCCGTTCGAGGTTCTCGAGCGAGTAGGCGAGGTCGCGTATCGTTTAGCCCTACCTCCCGAGTTATCAGATGAGTCCCCACTCAGATATTCAGGTTCAGCCAGATCTTTCGTACGAGGAGCGACTGGTAGCTATATTAGACCGTCAGATTCATCGGCTCCGGAAGCGAGATATTCCCCTCGTGCGCATTCAGTGGGATCGCCACGGAGCTACTTGGGAGGAGGAGTCCGATATTCGCGCTCGTTTACCAGATTTTCAGTTTTGATGTACATATGCCTTATCCTATGTACATAGTTCATGTATATCAGTTATGTCTTGAATTACCGAGGACGGAAATTTTGTAAGGAGGGCGGATTGTAATATCCCGATATTTTATCGGTATAAATTATCTTTTAGTTCTGATATAATAATATTAATGTTTATTATTTTCGGAATTAATTAATTTCAGTCGAGATTACCGAAATTTATTTTCGACGTACCATTTACGTTCGGAATAATTTTGGTAATTAACTAGTATGCTTAATTATTTAATTAAGTACTTAATTGTGATTAATTAGCAACTAATCACAATTAAGTTAAACAAAGCCGTGAGGGATTAAGGTGTATGGCCTAAATTTTGTTCAAGCCGTCCAAGATCTCCAAAATATAAGTCAAAGCCGTCCCATTTAAATTCCAAAGCACAAAACCGTAAGTTTTCTTATATGTTGGGAAATTAAAATTTCTTCCAACTTTTTAGTCATTAAACGTGGCAACATTAGAAATAAATTAGTCATCTTCATTTCTCCAACTAGTAACATTTGGATGGCAAAGTAAGTGGCCAGGCCACACCCTCGTCATCCCATATCTCTCGGCTTTAAAAATAGATGGCGTTGGGACCAAATGTTTTTTTTTTCCCAAATTCCATATCTTATGTTCAGCAAAAGAAAAGAGTAAGTTCAGCAACAGAGGGCTTAGTTTAGAGAAGAAGAGAGATCAGAAATTCTTCTAATTAATCAAGAGAGAAGCGACCGCACCCAAGCACACGGCACCGAGTTCACCGCACCGAGATCGTTCCTTAGCCGAGGTGCTGCTAGTTTCAGATTTCAGAGGTAATATCAGGCCTCTTTTGAGTTGTTTGTGTTAGTAATAAGTTAGTTTAATCGTAATTCAAGTCGAGTTCTTGTCGTGGCGCTGAGTCGTGCGGCTGTGTATGGCCGTGTGCGTATCCATGGGTGTTTATGTGTGTCCGGGAGTACTCATGTGAAGTAGTCATGTTATTTCAGTAGTTCATTGATAATCAGGCCCTATTTAGCTCAATTATGTGATGATATGTTTAAATTTTTGGGTTGCTCGATGATGGTTGAGTGTTCGGCCAAAAGGGTGGTCGCGCCTATCGCGTAGCCACGAGCCGAACTTAGCTTTGAATTTGGTCAGGGATAAGCTATCAGGTTTTCATGTCTAATTTCTTATTAAATGTTACCCATGTTCAGTCATGTATATGTGTGTTGCCGAGAGGAAAGTTGGAAGTGGTCGAGTGACGGCCTATCGCCGCCGGCGGCGCACGGTGCGCCCGCCACAGCCTTGTGCGGTTCATTGTGCAAAGATTGATATTTTCAATTAATTTTAGTTACTATGTTCAAGTTAAGTCTAAGCATATCAGTTGAAGTCAGTTTGGCCGGGAATTGTTGCCGGATGGCCGGCAAGGATCGGCCGTGGTGTTGCGCTGCCCGCACATAGCGGCAGCAGCGCACCGACCCTCAGTCATTGCGCGACGGGCAACGTATGCGCAAGCTAGGCTGCGTGCGTGTTGCCTGTGCGCGGTAGCGTTGCGGGCGATGCCCAGTAGCGCGCTCGCCAATGGTAGTACACACCCGTGTGCGCATACCCCGTCCAGTCCCTGCTGCGGCGCGCGATAGCACCCAGCAGCGTCAGCTAATGCCTGCGCCCGCGCACATAGCGCGGGCAGCATCCAGTCCAGCGCCCGCATCGTCCAGTACATGCAGCGGCCAGGCCGGGCAGCGCCAGCGTGCGCGGCCTCGGCAGGCTGCTGACCGAGCCAGTGCCGACTGCCCGGTCCAGTTGACCGGCAGTCCGGTACAGACCGGTTCAGACCGGCTGGACCGGTTCAGCCCCATTTTAAACCGGTTCAGTCAGTTATTTTCAGTTTCAGTCCCGGTTTTCAGTTTCAGTGTTATTTTCAGTTTAATTTCCGGGTCAAGTTCAGTTCAGTTTCGTATTTAGCCAGTTTCAGTTATACCGAATAAGTTCGAATATTATGTCAAGTTCAGTAGAGCATCTTAACATAATTAATCAGTTAAATTATCAGTCTGAGCATAGTCAATAGTAATTGTTTATATTATTTTCAGTTTGATTAGGCATCAGCACTGCCATTCAGTTTCAGTTTCAGCAGTTCAGGTGGGGACTCAGACTACGTACGACATTGATTATAATTACAGTACTATGTTTGAGGTATCTATTTCATGTGAAGTATCCGCTCGGAATGGTCGCCGGTCCATTCTGGGTTCTAGTGGCCTAATCTAACCACTAGAGTGTGCACATGGTCCGGTATTAGTTTGTGCCTGGAGATTGCGGTATTAGTTTGTGCCGACAGATTTCAGTTATCAGTTACGTGACTTATGTCGCGAGATCAGACCGGTATCAGATATCAGTTTCAGTTCAGTTCAGTTATATATGCTTAGTTCATGATATTGTTATTATTTACGATGTTTTACATTAGTATGAGTTTCTGCTGAGCACAAGTGTTTTAGTGCTCACGCCCCACACTTTTCATGTTTTTCAGGTCGCAGAGTCGGAGACGAGGAGTGAGCGGGCGTGCTGTTCAGGACATTTGTTATTATATGTATTTATGTTTTGCCACGCTAGACTTCCGCTAAACTTTCAGTACTTATTATCAGTTTTTGTTCCGAA